AGGCAGGAGCTGATGCAGAGGCCATGGAGGGAGCTGCTTACTGGCTTGCTCATCATGGCTCGCTCAGCCTGCTTTCTTAATAGAACCCAAGACCACCAGCCCAGGGATGGCACCACTCACAATGGGCTGAACCATCCTCCATTGATCACTAATCAAGAAATACCAACTGTAGCACAAAACATAAATGACACAGAGACTGATATTGGGATTCAAGCTTCAAGCTGAAGATCAGAAAAGCAAAGCAGCTGGTCACTAGCTCTTACTCTACCTCATACTGAACAGGCTGATCCTGTCTCCACGAGCTCTCACCAAGCCTCTCTTCAGTGTGGCTGGAGAATCCTGAGTCTCCAATGTCTTCCTATCCTCAATGTGTCTGGAGAATGAATCCTGATACTGAGACCTTGCTCCTATCTTATATACCTCCTAATGCCGGGAATAAAGGTGTGTGGTCCCAGGTGTTGGGATCATCTTTGTGTGAGCTGTTTCTCTTTAGGTCTGGATCAATCTTGTATAGATCTAGGTAGACTCACAGAGATCCATCTACCAATTAATCCTGAGTCCTAGGATTAAAGATATGTATCACCACCTCCTAGCTTCTGGCTGTTGGGATTAAAGGTATGTTGTACCTGACTTCTATGTCTTGTGTCTGACTTTGCTTTCTGGGTCCTCAGGCAAACTTTAATAAATCCTAAGTAATACATCACCTCACTTAACAGGCTTGCCTATGTCCTGATATTATGGAGGCATTTTCTTAATTGAGGTTGCCTTCTCTTAAATGGCTATAGCTTGAATCAAGTTGACATAAAACGAGCCAGGATACATTATGAACTCACACACCGACCCCATTGTGTATCTTTTTAAAGAACCAGCTGTTTGTGTCATGGTTTTTTCATGTCTCTGCAGTTTTTCCCAGTTATGCTTCATTCATTTCTATCTGGATCTTAATCATTTCATTACATCTGCAGCCTTTGAGTGTCGAATGTTCTTGTTTTTCAGTAAGTTACTTAATTAAAGCCTGATTTTAAAAGATTATATTACTTTGTGTGTATGGGTGTTTTGACTACATGCATATCTGTGTACCACTCATGTGCATGGGGTCTGGAGAGACCAGAAGGGAGCATCAGATACCCTGGAACTAGAGTTACAGTGGCCATGAGCCACCATGTGGGGGTGGGAACCGAACGTGGCTCCTCCTGCAGAGGGGCCAGTGCTCTTAACTGTGAACTCATGACAACACCTGACTCTGATGTAGGCGTATCTGTTAGGACTGCTTCCATTACAGGGTTGGCTATGTTGTGTCTTTGTTTTCATTAAATTCTATAATTAAAAAAATTAGCTTACCATGGAGGGAGCATTTGTGCCTTGGGGTGTGTGGGATCAGATGACAACTATGTAGAATCTGACTTACTTCTCGGTCCATCTTTACATTAACTCAAATCTCATTTACTCCCTGAGCCCTCGCATTCCCCAGGTTTAGGATTCTTACATTTTCTTTCTTGATTTTTTTTTCTGTGAATAATTTACCATACAGTAGTTTAATTTGCAACTTCCTGTGGCGTCTCTGGCTAGTGGTTTCTAGCTTTGTTCCACTGAGATCAGATAGGATACGGATGGGGAGTGTCCTTCTATATATCTATTTCTCATATTTGTTGGTGAATAAAACACTGTTTGGCCAATAGAGGCAGGGAGCTAGGTGGGGCTAGGAGATGAGGAGAATGCTGGGTAGAGAGGAGAGGCCGTGAGGAGACGGCATGCTGCTGAAGGAGTAAACTGGATTATGGGTAAGCCATAGCCTCGTGGCAATACATAGATTACTAGAAATGGGTTAATAATTAAGACAGAGCTAGCCAGTAAGGGGCCCTAGCAATTTGGCCAATAGTTTAATAATTAATATAGCATCTGTGTGTTTCTTTGAGGCTAAAGGTCTGCTGGACCAGACTGGAAAGAAAAACTCTAGCAACACAATACAAGAAGTTATTTCCATTTTCCTGGTTTTGCTGAAAATGTGTTCTATTTAGAGAAAGTTCTAGCTGGGCAGTGGTGGTGCACACCATTAATCTCAGCACTCAGGAAGCAAAAACAGGTGGATCTCTATGATTTTGAGGCCAGCCTGGTCTACAGAGTGAGTTCCAGGTCAGCCAGGGTCACACAGAGAAATCATACCTTGAAAAAAAAAAGAGAAAGAAAACCAAAGAGAAAGAAAGCTCCGTGGGCTGCTGTGTCCAGCAATGTTTCAGTGGAATACCCTGTAGGTGTCTTCAGTCTGTCTGATGTGTGATGCCACTTAGCTGTAACGTCTCCCTCTTTGTTTTGTTGAAGAGAGTGGGCATGGAAATCACCCCTGTGTGTTAGTTAGGGTAAGCTGCAATGTTGTAACTTCTAGTTATTTGTTAGGGTATTTGTTACAAACTTGTCATCTTGATGGCATGGAGCCACTTTTTAAAAATCTCCCCCCCTACCGTGTTTTGTTTGAAGTCTTTGTCAGATAGTAGGTAGAGATACCTCCTTGTTTCCTGGTTCCATTGCTTAAAAATACCTTTTATCATATGATAGTGTCTATCTTTGAAGGCAACGTGTGTTTCTTTTTTTTTAATTATTTTGTTATAGTATGGTTGTTTTGCTTGTATATATGTGTTTACGCCATGGATACACAATGCCCTCAGTAGTTGGAAGAAGGTGTCAGATTCCCTAGAACTGGAATTACAGCTGGGTTCTGAACTATAATGCTGGTGCTTGGAACTGAACCTTGGTCCTCTGGAAGAGCAGCCAGTGCTGTTAACTGCTGACCCATCTCTCCAGCCCCCAAATGTGTCTTAGAGATGCCAAGTAGATAGAGTCTGGGTGTTTTTGCATTAACTATGTGTGTTTAGGTACACACATACTGCTTGTGTGTGGAGGTCAGAGGAAATCTTGCAGAAGCCGGTTCCGGGGATCGCCCTCAAGTGGTCAGACTTGGCAGCATGTGCTTTTATTCATGGATGCATCTCACCAGCGCTACATCCTGTTTTAGCACACGTGACTCTCGGAACAGCAGGTCATTCTTCAGTGACACAGTCCTGAGAAGGAAGGTCCAAAGTGTCAAAGCTGACGACGATAGAACTGGTGGACTTGCATAAGCTATAAGTTAAGAAGCATAGCCTTGCCTGGCATTGGTGGTGCACACCTTTAATCCCAGCACTTGGGAGGCAAAGGTAGGCAGATTTCTGTGAGTTCAAGGCCAGACTGGTCTACAGAGCAAGTTCCAGGACAGGCTTCAAAGCAATACAGAGAAGTCCTGTCTTGAAAAAAACAAAAAACAAAAAAAAAAAAAAAAAAAAAAAAAAAAAAAAAAAGAAAAGAAAGAAAAGAAAAGAAAAAAAAAGAAAAAGAAAAGAAAAGCATAGCCTCTTATATACTATTTTCAGGGGAGAAATGGGAGGAAGTCAGCAGAAATTATCATACAATGGGGTGAAGTCAGCAGCAGGCTAATCAAACTATGCTGTTCAAGGGGAACACAGGGTATCTCAAGAACAGAGGGAGCATATAGAAGCCTTGGGACCTTGGGGCTGATAACCATGGCCTTGAATCATGGGAAGAGTTGGGTTCTCAGAATCTGAAGCCACTGCTGCCTCAAGGCCCTGCCAAATATATTCCTAGTTTCGAGCAGGAACTCTGTTCCTTCCCAATACATAAGGACCTCTAAAGCCCAGCACTCAACATCCAGTCTCCCAGCTATGACTTTTAATTGGGGAATGAGATCATTAATAGTTAAAATTATTATTGAAAGATGTGTATTAATTCCTATCATTTTGTTGATTTGGAAGTGTTTGGTGTTTTCCCAACCCTTTCTTCGTTTAGTTACTACTTTGATTTATTCAATCTCTTCAAACAGGAAGCTTTCTTCCAGTTTTCTCTGTAGAGCTAGCTTAGTGGTCAAAATTCCTTAAGTCTATTTTTAGCATGAAATATCTTTCTTTCTCCAGATGGTTTACTGGGTAAAGGAGACTAAGTTGGCAGTTGTAGTATTCAGAATTTGAAATAAATCTCACTATGCCAATCTGGCTTTTAAAGTTTCATTGAGACATCAGGTGTTATTCTCATGCATGAGCTGTTCGCCAAGTCTCAACTGATCCCTCCCTCAGTGTGGCTGGAGAATGGATGCTGCATACGGACTCCTGATACTGACTTATATGCCTCTCATGAGTCCTGGGATTAGAGGTGTGAGCTATAATTCTCTTTTAGACTGGTTCAGTGTTGTCTGGATCTGGGTGGGTTTCAGAGGTTTAGTACATTATCATCATGACAGGACATGGCATGCAGTCAGACAGGGTGCAGGAAAAGGACTTGAGAGTTCTACCTCTTGATCAGAAGGCGGCAGAAGCAACTCTATCCCACACTTGGCCTAGCTTGAGCATGTATGACCTCAAAGCCCATCCCCACAGTGAAGCATCCTCCATCAAGGCCACACCTCTGAATAGTGCCTTTCTCTATAGGCCAAACACTTAAACACACGAGTCTATAGGGGCCTGCCACCATTACCTCAGACCCTTCTGAAGTGCTGGCCACTTAGGAAATTGGCCCTGGAGCATTTCTTCTGGGACCTTAAAGGGAAGAGAGGTGTCTTAGGACATGGGGACAAACACAGAGGGAGACAATCTAAGGACAGCCAGAGAGAAGGTTATCTAGTGTCAGGAATGACCCTTCTACACAAGTGTTTCATAAAGCTCACTGTTTTACAGAGAACAGGAACAGGAAGATTGCTTCCAGTGCCACTGGGATGTTGATTAAAAAAACTACATCTCCCAGAAGGTAGAGCGGAGGCCTGGAAGATGACGCAAGAGGAGTGAGCGTTCCTGGGGGCCGCGGGGGGCGGAGCTTCCGACGTTTGCTCTCCGAATGTCATTTTTGATTCTCCTCCCGCCTTCCCCGCGCTGGGCAGAAGCTAACTCCTGTGAATGGAGAGGAGCGAAGGGGAAGGACCCTGAGGACAGAGCATCCACTTCCACCTTCTGCGCGAGGCGCTCTCCTTCCCGGGCTAGCGCTACCCGCCTCACGCTCCTCTCTTGGGGCCGCACCTGTGGTCCCCATGGCGACGCCCGCACTGGTGAGTGGAGGTTGCCTGCTCTCGGGCCGTCTGTTTGGGTCCTGGATCCTGGATCCTGGAACTCCAACCCTTCCGCGTTGGTGCCCGGGGATCTGGAAGCAGCCGGGTCCTTAGGAGGCTCCAGCGTCGGGCTCTGACTTTGGGTCCAGCGCTTCGCCGCCCCTGGGGTCCCTCCCCTGGGTCTGTAATGGAATGTTCGCAATAATTCCGTCCGGAGAGATCTGGACCCGGTACGCGAGTGGCTTCTGTTCTTGTGCTCAGCAGGATCCAGACAGCATCACTCTGTGGGCAGCTTCGGGACATCCCTGTAGCCAGCAGGGTGGCTCTGAATTGCTACTTTGGTGTCAGCCAAAGGGACTGGGTTTAAATCTTCACATTTTTACCTGTACTGCAAAGCAAAACAGTTAAATTTTCGTTGATGACGGTGCTTTGGGGATGTACATATACAGGAGCGGAGCCACAGTAATTATTTCCAGCTTGCCACGCAGTTCACTGCCAGCATGGGCCTGATCACTTTTAGGACGACTTGTTCCGTCCCCGTCCCCCCCCCCCCGCCTTCTCCTCTCTCTCTCTCTCTCTCTCTCTCTCTCTCTCTCTCTCTCTCTCTCTCTCTCTCTCTGCCTCCCTCTCTCTCTCTGTCTTCCTCTCTCCCTCCCTCCTCCCCTCTCTCTCTCTCTCTCTGTGTTTGATGATATTGGGAGTCATCTTCCAGCAGTCTTCCAGGGTCTCTCAATCAAACCTAGAGCTTGTGGCTATGGCCAGGCTTGCTAGCCCGCTTGCTCTGGGCTCACCTGTCTCCTCCTTTTGAAGCTACCCAGCGTTTCCATGGCTTTTGCGGCTCTGAACTCTGGTCCTCTCAGTTACCCCCACGCTCTTTAACTTCCTCACCTGGCTTGCGGAATCGGTCCATTCCAGCCTTGCTCTGTCAGCATTTGGGGGGGGGGGGACAAGCACAGAAGGCACAGCTTCCCACTGTCCCCCCCCATAGCAGTCTGAGGAAACTTTTGGAGACCTCAAACTTGTGCCAAGCCACTGCTTCAATACTGAAAAGATTTTCAGGTTTAGCTCTGTCTGGATCGGAGTTGGGTTTAATGAAAACATTTTAATAGGGACTTAAGAGGGGAAGAGGTGGTCCTTACAAAGATCAGACACACCAGAAAGCATGGCTGTGGGCTTCTCAGAGAGAGGGGGCAATTGACTTTTACAAAAGTCATTGGGGTTTTGTTGGGGATTGACGTTACTATCATCAAAGGCTTTCTAAGAAACTAAATGAGACGGCAGGTGCTTCTTGAGGGGAACCTGACCGGACTACAGTCCATCGGGTGAAAATCTGGCTTACACAGTCAGGAAAGAGAGCCACCTTTACTGTGAACAGCTAGCTGACACAATTGAGTCTGGGGGGAGGAGGGAGGCCCCTCCCCAAGGTCACACATGTTCAGGCCTCAGTCTGACTTGTTCCCTTAACATAAAAATACCACTGTGTAGATGCTAACTGCACCAGCAGCCTTCACAGCAAATGTTAACAATGTTGCGTTCTTTTTTAAACTTGTATTTATTCATTTTATGTGTATGAATGTTTTGCCTACGTGTATTTATGTGCCTGGTACTCTGGGAGGTCAGAAGTGAGCTTTAGATTCCCTGAAACTGGAGCTACAGACAGCTGCCATGTGGATGATGGGAACTGAACCTGGGTCCTCAGCAAGAGCCACTGAGCCATCTCTCCAGCCCTACGCTGCATTCCTTATTCTAGCTGGTGAGGGGGCTTCAGTTAGACTCTAGAGGGATGAGTGAGAATCTTTCCCTCCCCAGGTCCCTACAATTTCCCTGTAAGTCCATCCTACCTCAGTTCCAGGGTCATTTCAGAGAGTCTTCTGATGGGAGATGTCATTCTGTATATATTTCTCATACTGGTTAATGAATAAAGCACTGTTGGCCAATAGGAAAGCAAGATAGGCGGGACTAGGAGACAAGGAGGAAATAGGAAGTAGTAGGGAGGAGCCAAGATGGAGAGACTGGGGAGACAAGATGCTGGCCCCTTTCCCCAGTAAGAAGACCACATGGAAATACATAGAAATGGGTTAATACTTAAGACAGAGCTAGCCGATTAAAAACTAGTACCTGGCCAACAGAATTATATCAAATACAGAGTCTCTGTATGTTAATTGGGGCTGGCGCGGTGGCGGGACAAGACTAGTTGGCGGGTGGAGAAAACCATACTTTTTACAGTTTTCCCCTGATCTGACGTCATTCAGTGCATATGCTGACACCCAAACTCGATTGTTCCAACTGGGGTTCAGACCCCAGTCTCACACACGTAAGGCACGTGCTCCGCCACTGTGCGGTATCCCCAGCTGACTTCCTGCAGGTCCACCCCCACCCTAGCATGTGGGTTCCTACAAAGGCTGGGGTTGGTGCTATTTAGTAAAGTGCTTAGTGAGTGAGACCCTACCCTCCGAGGCTCCTGTCACCCTCAAATTCGATCTCAGCTTCAAGCCACCACCCCATTTGTCTCACTTCCTGCCCTCAAGCCCCAAGCTTGTTCATCCTTTGTCACATTGACCCTGTTGTGTGACGCCATTCTTGGGGGAGTTGTGAACAAATACATGGGGAACCGGCAACAGACCGAAGTAAAGATGGGACCAAAGTCCAATTTGGTGGAGCAGTGAGTTTTATTGGGGTTATTTACAGGAATATTGGTAGTGGTTATTTCCTGGGGCACAATGACTGTGTCACCACAGCCAACTCCGTAAGGGTGACGCACACAAAAGCTGGCAATCTAGACCACACCGCACTACCCGCAGGCTTCTGAACAGTTTGGAGTGTAGCTCTTCCAGACACTGCTATGGTCGGAGCCTCTTCCGGGTAGCTCAGTAGGTAGTGTCTCTTGTTAGGCCTTACAACTTATATATACTGGGGGTGTCTTGGTTAAGGTTTGTATTGCTGTGAAGAGACACCATGACCACAGCAAACTCTCATGAACATTTAATTGGGTGGCGTACAGTTTCACAGGTTCAGGCCATCGTCATCATGATGTGACATGATGACTGATGACACGCAGGCAGACATGGCACTGGAGAAGGAGCTGAGAGTGGAGGAGGAGCTACATCTCGATCCCACAGGCAACAGGAAATGGTCTGAAACGCTGCCTGTGGCTTGAGCATGTACGAGGTCTCAAGGCCCGCCTCCACAGTGACGCACTTCCTCCAACATGACCACGCCTACTCCAACAAAGCCGCACCTCCTAATAGTGCCACTCCCTATGAGCTTATGGGGGCCAATTACGTTCAACTACCGCGAGGGGTGTAATGAATCTGGTCAGTTTCCAGGACTTCTTGGGCATAGACAGCTTCCCTGCAGGGTGGGGCCTTATGTCTTGGAGGAAGTTGCCGCCGTCCTCAGATCTATTCCAAGCTGCCCCTTAAATATGTGCTGCTTTACTCTTTCCCAGGGTGCTTCAGAAGGAAACTGGAAGCTCAACCAGTAACCCACAGCAGGGTAGGGAAGCCTATGAGTGACACCCAACATACCCTTTGCAAGGTTTTCCCTGGTGAGCATGGAAACGATGGGGATTTGAGGGACCCTTCCAGGCTGAGGCATCTCATGGGAAAAGTCAGGCTTTTTTCAAGGGAACACCACAAGACCTTGGGGGTCGTGAGCTCTCATAAGTTGGCCATGTGTTTCTAAGGAAGGTGAGATTGTGTGGCTGGCAAATCCTTACCTATGCCTTGTCCTTGCCCAGGACAGACATGCTCCAGGTTGCCGTCTGTCCACGTTCATAGAGCCATGGTGGCCATTGTCCTTGGTCGCTTGGTCACCTAGATATGTAAGTGATCTTAAGGAACTGTGTGAATAATGGCTAATTAAAAAAGAACCAACCAGCCTGTTGGAGCGTGCTCCAAGAATGGAGTCCTGTGAGGAGAGTTCTGCGAACTTGTGAGAAAACTCCAAGAAAACAGGACAAGAGTCTTGTAACCTCTTGAAACACAGAACTGTTCTCGGGATGCGTTTCCATGCTCCTCCAAGGTGTAGCAGTCAGGACTGAGTTTACGTCAGCCATTGTTACTCACGGGCCTCTATGGAAAACGTGGTTTTACCACGTGTGGCGGTGTGTCCCTGGGATTGGGCCATTGTTACTCACATGCCTCTATGGGAAAACGTGGTTTTACCACAAGTGGCGGTGTGTCCCTGGGATTGGGCCATTGTTACTCACGGGCCTCTATGGAAAACGTGGTTTTACCACGTGTGGCGGTGTGTCCCTGGGATGGAAAACGTGGTTTTACCACGAGTGGTGGTGTGTCCCTGGGATTGGACACTTTGCTTAGGTGACACCTCAACCCTTAGAGTATAAATTGTCTGATGCTCTGAATAAAGTTGGTTATCACATCATGTTTTTAGACCCTTCTCTTCCAGGTTCACACCACCAACTAGAGCAGTAAACACCAGCCCTGCCTTAAGTTACCTTTTTTGTTTTTTTGTTTTTGTTTTGTTTTGTTTTGTTTTGAGACAGGGTTTCTCTGTGTGTACCCTGCCTGTCCTGGTTACTCAGCGTTGATGGGCTCTGGTTAATAAATCATGTAGATCAATGAGGCTCAGCTGCTGGGGTGGTGATCATTGAATTATAGGTCCTCATCGCCCCCTCCCCCACCAAGCCCAGCTCGTCTAACATCACAGGTCACTGTTGGGTACTTACCATCACACACTGTTTTGTGTCCTTCTCCAGTGGCTTCTCACACAGGGGGCTTTTCTCTCACATCCCTTTGGAATCTGTCAAAGGCACCTCCATCTCAAGCCTCCGTGCCAGGCCAGGTACTTAGGAGAAGATCTGCAGCTCAGGCTTTGTCCCTGCAGTCTTGCCCATAACCAAGGAACAGACTTCGGTCTTGCGTGTGATCTACACAGTTTTCTAACCACTTCTGTTTATTATTATCTCAGGCCCTGGTTTCATTTGAAGATGTGGCTGTGACCTTCACCGTGGAAGAATGGGGACATCTGGACCTGGCTCAGAGGATGTTGTACCAGGACGTGATGATGGAGACCTGTGGGCTTCTGGCCTCACTGGGTGAGGGTCCATTTCTCTCCTGCGTGCAGAGTTAAAGCTGCCTTTATTACGCCCTCTGTCGGCATTGCTGGCTGAGGGCACTGCCCATCTTCCCGCAGTCTCAGCTTACCGTTGCGTGGTTTCTCGGCGTCACGTCAGGGATCTTTATGTAAGAAATGTAGTCCTCATCTCTGCCAGCCGGGCAGTCAGATGTCCCTGTCCCACATCCCCATAGAAGGGAAGTGACCAGCTCAGCAGGGCTGAATGAGCTGGTGTCACAGCCCAGCCAGCGGGGCCTGCTGGGATGGGGCTCTCCAAGAGGTTGGTCCAGCTGTGGTCCAGGCAAATGAGAGGCCAAGGAACAGGAAACAAAGCTCAGGGCCAGTTTGGGTTGTGTAGAGAGTTCAAGACAAAACCCCATCCCTCCGAAAAGACAATAGGATTCTTCAGACACCTGCCACCTCCATTATCGACACATATATCCTAAGGCCTGGGCCAAGTGGCAGCATCCTCCACTCTTGCAGAATTGTTGACTAGCTTCCTGGGAAAAGAAACCACTTCCCAGGCCCAACCTTGAGGGGGGCTTGTGAGCTTGCAGACTTCATGCTATTATTCGGGTGGTTTTATTTTTAGTGTAGCCTTTTAGTGACACCTGCAAAGCAAGTGAACCAATGTGTGACTGCCTAGAGCAGAACTTAGACCACCTCAGTGCTACAGTATTCTACATAACAGACAAAACCCAGTATTTCCCACCTAACCCACTTCACCTTCAGCGATCAGGGTAGGAACTGAATGGACGCCCAAGTCTCCCTTCCCTCGAATGCTCAGATGCTCTAGAGATGCTTCCAGCCTCCTGTCCACGTGAAGTAAATGCTGCGCTGGCTTGTGCTTAGTTTTGAGAGGAAGTGTTCCAGGGACAACACTCTAGAGTCCTTGAGGACAGGGAGCTCAATGGAGGGAGGTTCAGTGTTCTGCCCCCAAAGCTCCACCACTAAGCTAAGTGCCGGGCATGTGGCAGCTGTCAGCGAGCCTTTGCTAAGTGAATGCTGACTGTGTTCTGTCTGCCATGTGGTTTTGCTATGGCTACTTCAGCAACATGTGCTTGGCTGAAAGTGAAGGAGTCTTGTCATACTAGGTTTATCCTGTAAGCCTTGTCATACTAGGTTTATCCTGTAAGCCAGGTGTATGGGCCACCTGCTGAGACACCCAGTAGTGTGACTGGCTCCTGCGTGTAGTGGCCACCCTGTTCTCCTGTCATCTTCCTTCCTGCTGTAGGCCCTCAGGCTGCCCCTGGTAGGGGTGTGGGGTGATGCAGGACCAACTGGAGCGGTAGGCCAGCCTCAAACAGCTGTTGGTAGATGCCCTTCCTCACTTTGAGGGTCCCCAGTTTCCCATTCATCCTTAAATACCACAGTTACACAGGGGCTTTGAAACACAAGTGCTGGGTGATTATGGCCGGAAATGTCCTTTGATTTCATCTGGATTTGAACCACGCACTACTAGGGAAGTGTGCTCTCCAAGCAGGCAGGATGCCTCTGACTCAGACTGACAGAGAATGCCTTCCAAGGCAGGGCTGTGTCTCCCTCCCCGGTTTCCTGACAGTGCGCTAATGTACGTGCACGGTTGATATGAGTTTTTAATTCTACCCTTACCTACAAGTGCCACTTTATTTCTCATGCCAGGGCATCGCATTCCCAAGCCAGAGCTGGTCTGCTTCCAGGAGCATTGGCAGGAAGTGTGGACAGTGAAGAGGGGCCTCTCCCAAAGCACCCGCACAGGTAGGTGGCTGAGAGTTGGCAGGGGGTAACTGTGCTGACGCCACAGTTTGGTGGCTCTCGGTTGCTGAGCTCATGCAGCCCTCGCCTGTGGTCTCCTGACTTCACACCCACCTCACACTTACCCCTGTGAATAGTGCCGCAGACCTGGCTGTGCAAGTGTCTCTCTCTGTGCTGTGATGGCTTAGACGCCTTTGGGTAGAGCCACGAGTGGTGTAGCTGGATCATATGTCAGTCCTGTTCTAGGTGTTTTTGAGAAACCTCCAGTCTGATTTCCACAGTGGTGGTATGTAGGCAGACTTTTCTTTCCCTCCAGCCAGGACCCAAATCACAACATGGAGACGTATTATTGACTATAAATGTTCGGCCAATAGCTAATGATGGTTTCTAACTAGCTCTTACACTTAAATCAACCCCTATTTCTTCTCTACCCTCTGCCACATGGCGGTGCCTTCTTTCAGCACAGCACGCTCATCTCCTGCCTGCTTCCTCTGCATCTTGCTGGAGACTCCTCAGACTCCACCCTCCTCCTTCTTCCCAGAATTCTCTCAGTCTGCTTCTCCCACCTGACCTTACCCTGTCTAGCTGTTGGCCAGTCAGCTTCTTTACTAAATCAACCAATGTGACACATTCACGCAGTGTAAAGGAATATTCCACAGTGGCACTGATTTACATCTCAACCAGCAGTACGTTGGCCTCGTCCTCGCGAGCATTTGCTTTTGTTTGTCGTCCTGATGGTAGCTATTCATGTTGGGGGAGATGGGATTATATTGCATTAATTGATGAACTTTGGGGGAGACTTAACATTGTATCTTTAACCTCTTTTCCTATCGGTCCTTGTTATTTTTCCTAATGTCAAGATTTACCTATGTGTGACGTCACTGATTTCATGCAGATGCCATTGGCTTTGTGTCTGTTGTGTTCACTTTGTCCTTATTCACGATAGCAGAGCCAGTGCTTCTCATGCCCCTTCCCTCTGGCACATGGCAGGGTCCTAACGATGTCTGCTCTCCATCCCCGCCTGTCTCCTTCCTCATCTGCACAACCCTCACCTTCTTCGTGTCTTGCTTGGTATTCAGGGTTCTGTCCAGACTGTGTACTTTTCTTTTCGCACCTCCCACGGTGTCTGCTTGTCTGTCTCCCCTGACCCCACCCCTCAGTTCTTCCACTTAGCAACACGTACTCTCCCTTAGAAACAGGGTCACATACCAGTATTTTTTCATACTCTCTGCTGCTCTCTTCTGTCTAGGCCAAATTGAGTACAACTTCTCTCTGTTGTCATGGCATCATGATACTTCCTTACACCACACTGACTGCATACATTATACCCATTGCTTTGCCCACCTCCCCCATTCTGGAATTTGGAGTGACCTCTCTGCTCACGGTTCTCTCTCCCCTGCCCCAGCTTTTCCTCCTAGATTTCTACTGAAAAAACATTAAGAACCCAAGCATGAGTGAATGAAAAAGAATTTACAAACACGGTTTTAAGCCATGAGTGGCTGGGGATGGTGGTACACACCTTTAATCCCAGCACTTTGGAGGCAGAAGCAGGTGAATCTCTGTGAGTTTGAAGCCAGCCTGGTCTACAAAGCAAGTTCCAGGACAGCCAGAGCTGTTACATAGAGAAACTCTGTCTTGAAAACAAAAGAAAAGAAAAGACATAAGTGAATGCAATAATAACCTTCAGAGGCAATAATTTCATCATGTGCTATGTTGATATTTTTGTGGTTCTGTTACTAATAATAGACACCTGTTCTTATTGGATTTCCTTTAGGTGAAGAAGCAAAATCCAATCATGCCTCAATTGCCACTGCTTCTCATCTGGCTTTCTGTTTCCCAGAACAACTGTCACAGAGATCCTCAGAGGACTCCAAGTTAGGGCAGACCAAGGCTAAAGAAACTTGGTCAGAAATGCCAGGCGGGAACACAAGAACAACAGACTCTTCCAAGGAGGTGTGTCCTAGAAAGCTGAGTCATAAACATGATGCTTTGGAGACAGAAGATGGTCTCTGTTTACAAGTCTTACAGGCACAAGCAACTCCACGAGATTCTGCCCATAAGCATGATTCCCAAAGATCAGAAAAAGAGCCTGGGATGGATGGAGGGGGCCTTTATCAATGTAAAGATTGTGGGAAAGTGTTTAGGACTGAATGGACCTTAGTATGCCATCGACGGATTCATGCTGGAGTAAAGCCTTATGAAAGCGAGGGCAGGGAGATCTGTCCTGACATGGCCAACTTTATTCAGCATATGAGGATTCATACTGGGGAGAAACTACACACGTGCATCGAGTGTGGGAAGGCCTTCAAACGCAGTTCTCACCTCACTGAGCACCAGCGGATCCACACTGGAGATAAACCCTATGTGTGCAAAGAATGTGGGAAAGCCTTCTCCCATCGCTCCACTTTCATCCAGCACAAGACGACCCACTCTGCAGACAAGCCTTTCCTGTGCAAAGAATGTGGGAAGGCTTTTTACTACAGCTCTTCATTTGCTCAGCACATGCGGATTCACATTGGAAAGAAGCTGTATGAGTGCAGCCAGTGTGGAAAGTCCTTCACTCACTCCTCCACTTGTGTAAAACATAGGAGAACCCATACTGGAGAGAAGCCCTATGAGTGCAAAGACTGTGGCGAAGCTTTCACTCACCACTCCACATTTCTCCACCACAACATGACCCACACAGGAGAAAAGCCCTTTGTGTGCCCAGAATGTGGGAAAGCTTTTTGTGTCAATTCATCCTTCATTCAGCACATGAGGATCCACACTGGAGAGAAGCCATACGAGTGCAGCGAGTGTGGAAAAGCCTTCACGCAGCGCTCCACTTTCATAAGGCATAAGAGGACACATACTGGAGAAAAACCCTTTGAGTGCAAAGAATGTGGAAGGGCCTTTTGTGACACCTCTTCTCTGATTCAACATATGAGACTTCACACTGGTGAGAAGCCCTATGAATGCAATGAATGTGGAAAGGCCTTCACCCACCACTCAGTTTTCACCCGACACACTAGATCCCACAGTGGAGTAAAACCCCTAGAATGCAAAGAGTGTGCAAAGGCCTTTTACTATAGCTCTTCCTTCACCCGACACATGAGGATTCACACTGGAGAGAAGCCTTATGTTTGCAGAGAATGTGGGAAAGCCTTCACTCAACCTGCAAATTTTCTTCGGCATAGTAGGATCCATACTGGAGAGAAACCCTTCAAATGCACAGTATGTGAGAAGGCCTTTTATGACACCTTTGCCTTAATTAGGCACATGAGAATTCACACTGGAGAAAAACCCTTTGAATGCAGTGCATGTGGGAAAACCTTCAGCCATAATTCATCCTTCATTCAGCATCAAAAGATCCATACCAGGATTTAAAAGATGTGGAACATTGTTCACCTCCATCCACTTGAACAAGCACATACTAGCAAAATACTTTTCTATGTTATTATCAGGGGAAATCTTTTTTTTTTTTAAGTGAGAAATTTTATTAGAAAGGGGATGGAAGGGGAAAGAAGGAGAAAAGAGGTAAAAAGACAGAAACAGAAAGGACAGAAGAGGAGACAGAAGTCCTGTCTGTCCTGATGGAGCAGCTGGAAAGAGAGAAAGGAGTGGGTAAGCTATCAGGGAAAATCTTATGGCCAGAAATAATTTAGTTTCTGGAAACTCATACTGAAGAGACACATGATTGTCATCCCTGTAACTGCTTTTTGTGGCCAGTCATCATTAGTCATCTAAAGAATTATAACTAAATCTTTTCATCAGCCAATCAATAGCTAAGCTTTTTCTATTTAAACACATTTTATTATGTCAATATATTTATAATTACTATTCTGTATAATAAAGATTATTATGCTTTTTAATGTAATAGACTCAAGTACATTGTGTGCTAATTTGTTATATACATGCATGTGCAGTACATGTGTTTAGCACTTCTAAACAGGAAACAGTACCAGTTATAAGACTGTACTGTAGAATACAGTCATATAAATATATTCCTAAAACTTGAAGCCAGAGTAAACAATTCATTAAAATTCTAATTTGTTGAAGCTTCAGGGAAGTGATTGGAAAGTGTTCCCTATGATGCAACCTCTTCCCCTTGGCTTGAGAGAGAGGGTCATGAAGTGGCATAAGTCGAAGACAGTTATGAGAATTACATGTTCATGTGCTTCAGGAACTCCTTACCGATTTTGTTGACATTATCAGTTTCCCTCTGTACTGGCTTGAAAATTGGACCATCCACATCTATCTGGCTTTTCATGTAAAATGTTGTGTGTATCCAAATATATGCGAGACAGTGAGGTTGGGGTCATAGTTTGTATTCAGAAGCAGGATTTCATTTTTGTCTAATTGAAAATTGTACTGTCTTAGTTAGGGTGAAGAGACACTATGACCATACCAACTCTTATAAACAAAAATATTTAATTGCGGCTGGCTTACAGTTTCAAAAATTTAGTGCCTTGTCATGACAAGAAGCATGGTGGCATGCAGACAGACATGGTGCTGGAGAAGGAGCTGAGAGTTCTGCATCTTGATCTGCAGGAAGGAGACTGCATCACACTGGGCTTACTTGAGCATGTGAGACCACAACGTCCACCTACACAGTGACACACTTCCTCCAACAAGGCCATGCCCACTCCAATGAGGCCACACCTCCTAATAGTGCCACTCCCCATTGGCCAAACATTCAAATACATTTGTCTATGAGGGGCCATTCCTATCCTATAACCACTACATGTGCTAAGCCAGAATCCCATGATGATATAATACCTTAACTGCTGTGAGAGGAAGCACACATGGATTCAGGCTGTTTGATCACTGACTTCTGTGCTTCACATTCAGGCTGTTTTCCTTGTTTCTCATCCCATTTGTCTAATGGAATGTAAGGTAATTACCATATGGTAATGAATGGACAACTCCATAGTCTAATCTCTGGAATTCTCCATGTGCATAAGTCAGGAACACTTCCACAGTTCTTTATAATTATCTGTGTAAGTGTCCCCAATAAATACCCATTTATCATCTATGGGTCTAGTGAAATCTTTACCCCCCTAATACCAACAGAGTGGAAGGAATGCTGTCAGTGATGACAAGGACAAGCTAAGGATTCTGTGTTAAGAACCAAAGAATCCCCAATGCAGAAATAAATCCCTTTTCGATGTGAAGAAAAACCCAGGCTTTCTCCACAGGACCAAAAGGAACTCACCTGTAACCTCTGTGTGCTGGCAGACCTCTCACAGTGGAGATGGACATTATAGATGCAGTGAATGTGGGGAAACATTTAACCACAAAACTGGGCTAGGTGAGCACCAGAGTATGCATCTGGAAAAAGGCCTTATAAGTGCACTGGAGGTGAGAAAATTTACACAAGAAGACCCCATCTCATTAGGCATAAGAAAGTTCACCCTGGAGAAAGGTGTTATTTGTGTCATGAATGTGGAAAAAATCTTCAGCAAAAGTTATTGTTTGGTTCCCCATGAACAATTTCACACAGGGACAGGCCGTACTCCTGTAGCACACGTGGGAAACCTAGCACAGTCAATACTTCTTCAGCATAGAAGAGGCCAAAAGGGAGAAAGCATTATGAGTTCCCTAAGTGTGGCAAGTTCTTTGGCAACACTGTGACCTTATTGTACCCTAGAGAGGTTTACAAGATGGAGCAAGTGCTGTGGTGACTTTGGGAAATGCCTTAACCATAAGTCTGAGCTTGCTGTACACTGCAGAATCCACATCACTCCCGGGCCTTATGAATGCCACCAATGTGGGAAAGCTTTTAGCTGCAAACACAGACTTGTTCAATCAACATCAGCTAGTTCACACTAAATATAAGCTTTATGAGTGTAGTGACTGTGGAAGAGCATTAGTGGGAAGTTCAGACTTGTTGAGCATCATGAAATCCTCAGCACAGGAAATCTTTATGAATGCAGTAAAGCGGGGAAGCCTTTCTACAAAGCTATAACCTGCTCCAACATCAGAAATCCATACCGGGTTGAAATCTTATATGTGACACATTTGTAAGAAATTATTGAGCTATAAAAACATCCTTCTTTGGCAACAGGAAATACACTGGAGACACAACTTATCAGTGCACCAAATGTGGCAAGTTGTTCAGGCAAAGTTTGACCTTATTTCACATTAAAGAATTCAAACAGGTGAAAAACCATATATGACTGCATTCATTGTGGGAAATGTTTGAGCCAAAGATCTACCCTTAACCTGCATCAGAGAGTTCACACTGGAGAAAGACCTTGCAGTGAGTGTGGGAAAGCCTTCACACTTACATTACCACTTGCTCAACACCAGAGTATCCATACTGGAGAGAAACCCCATGGGTGCAGTGAGTGTGGGAAGTTCTTCATCCACGAAACCAGCCTCCCTAAACCAAAAAGAGTCCACACTGAAGGAAACCTTAAGCCAATGCCTCTCCCTTTCTTAGTACTAGAAAAGTCACTTTGAACAAAGGCTTTGGAGTTCAGACAGCATGTGACCTGCAATTAATGAGTAATCGCACAGCTAACTCAGGAAATGGCCTTTGTGATACAACCATCAACCACTAGTTGACTCCCATCTGGGCCTCCACATTGGAGATGTGACTGTGGGTGACAGGAAAGAAGCATCAGTAGCTGCTTTGCATTTTTCATCTGCACAAAGCCCTTTCCAGAGTTATATTACTGTTTGTACTTATGATTGAAGCTGCCCCACCTCTGGTAGCTGGCATGCATCAGGTTACTCAGTGCTTAGAGAACCTCATGTGCTATTCCTGGGACATAGCAGGCATGGGATAGCAGGCCAATTATAGTTTGCCAGATATACATCCATACCATGGGTTTGGTTAATAAGAGTGAAGGGCAGCAATCCAGAATGTTGGCCTCTAAATTTGCTTCAGAATGCTCTGATCACTCTAGCTGTGACAGGTGAGTGTATACAGATAGTCTCAAACTTTCCCTGGTTGTTTCTCTGTAGATACTCGGCAATGGCAGACGTTCAAATGATTCTGGATTACCAGGGCTACACGAGACAGAAAGTGGAGAAAGGAAAGAGAAGTTTGTCCATGTTGTGACCTGGGGCTCAAAGCCAGCCTTTATTGTTCATGATGTTCTGTGTCTTGGAGGTGGGCCTCCCTCCCACAGAAGGTGAGACCAGTGTGCATTGGGCAAACTTTGTGTTTTTTTTTTTTTTTCAGGAGACAGGAAATCTGTATTTTTGTGATTTTAATCATTCCTTGTGTATGAACCATTTAACTTATTAAAGCTCTGGTGAGGTAGAATTGATGTGCCCTGTGCTGTGCATATTTGGATTATAAGTGGTGGTAGCTTTTATGTAATGTGCAAACCCAGGAACTCATCAGGGCAGTCATGATAATAAGCATCATCAGAATTTGAGTACCTGACTGTTGTCTTATGAGGCAATTTTCTCCTGAATCATCACTTCATAGTTTATTCATGGGTTAAAGACATTTATCTCTCCTAGTTGGGATCAAGCCAAGTAAAGCTGCTAGGAACATTCTCCTCTGAGTCTCTCCTGTGGGTTACTATCCAGGCATCAAAGCCTCAGTGTCTTATTTCCACCCATGAGATTTTCCCTTCTACATATGACTTATGGCCTAGAAAAGTTGTCACTGAAACAACATATTACTTACATATCCCAATACATGATATGCATAATGCCACACAGTCTCATGAGAGACTGGTATTAAGCAGGAGGCCTCATCCTTTGACTGGGGATTCCACTGGCAGAGTAAACACTGCTAGGATTTCCTGGTTGAATAATCCCATGAGGTTGCAGATTTTAGTCATGCCTGGTCCTGAGGTGTTGGTTTGCAAAAACCCTGATTCGTGTGCTTAAAGGTGAAGCCAGGCTATAACTCAGGAGTCACTGGTTTGCACGAGAGCTGTGTTCCAGGTGAGGCCCTTGGGTCTTTCCAAGACCTGGCCAGCCTTCCTTAGGAAGCATTACAAGCTGTCCCATCAGGAAACCTGTGAACATGGCACTGTTTGGTCGTAGTCTACTTGCATGGTCATCTGACACACTGTGCCCTGTCTGTGTGACTCTGCTACCAGCAGCTAGACCTTCGCTGCTCACCAGCAGCGGCTCTGCTCAGTCTGACGTCTCAATATTTACCACTCCCTTAGCTGTGCCATCATTTTCTGTCTCCCTGTGAGCTAATGTTTATCATTGCTGCCTGGACCGATTGACATCCCTCTCCTTCCTGTTGCCTGGTTGTTTTGTATGTGAGAGCATGAGAGAGAGCATATACACACATGCCCCAGTCAGTGTACACGGGGAGGTCAAAGGACAATCTCGGGTGTCACTCCTCCCCTACCTAGGCTAAGTCAGGTCTCTCTGGGTGTCTGGACAGGAGAACTGGGATTATGGACGTATTCTGCCCAGATTGGCTTTGCATGGGTTCCGGGATTTGAACTCAGGTCTCATGTAATGCACAGAAGCACTCTATCCCTTGAATCTTCTTCCCAGACTGTCTCTCTTTTCTTTAGTTGAGCATCTACTCGCATCTTTTCCCCATTAAAGTTTTTTGTTCATTATTAAGGTTTCCTTTTCTTTTTGTGGCAGGGTCTTTCTATGTAGTTTTACTATCTTGGAACTTCACCCGCAGAGTCACTGCGCTGTTATGGACTGACGTCTAAGTTAGCAGCTGCCCTGTGACATTGAGGTCAGTAGCTGTGCATCTCATTTTTTCCCCACTGACCTGGTGACAGCGGTGGCTGTTCTCATGCTATTTACCCTGAGACAACTCCTTCCTTACAGTCTTACAAAGCCGCAGTTAGCTTGCTCTGGTGGTGATAAATGCCTATTATTTCAGCACTTAGGAGGCAGAGACAGGTGGACCTCTGGGAGTTTAAGATCAGCCTCGTCGACATAGCAACAAAAAAGGCTGCCATGGCTTTCCCATGACCACCTGACCAGTGAGTGCCAGTCACCCTGCTCTGAGTGCCCACACAAGTCACTTCTGTCACTGTGTCCCTGACCTTCTAAAGATGTCACATGACACCCGCCCAGCACACAGACATGGGGACCAGAGTAGAGCTGCAGGTGTTTATTAGAATAACAGACAGAACAAGGAGGGGACAGGTGTCTGGATTCCAACTTCAGGAGGGAGGGAGGACAGGGCTCCAAGACGGCACTGGCATCAGCGATCAATATAAAAGGCGTGTAATTTGGGAGAGTAGGGCTTTAATTTTTTGTAGCGTGTCTTCAGTAAAGTGTTGCCTGCATTCCGGGCTCAAGGTGATGGTTTGCTGGAAAACAAAAGGACAGAGACGCACAGAAGTTGTCACAGGCAAGGTGCAGGAGCTCTGCGGGCTCCCCAGTCACCCACGATGAGGCTGCTCCTTATCCACAGAGAAGAAAACCCCTTGCAGTGACTCAGGTCTCCACAACACACTGTGCCCAAGGGAGCTGCAGCTCATCCACAGCTGTCAGGAGGAAGTCTGAAAAGACATGCTGACCAGGCAGGGATGAAGGGGAGAAGGTGCAGAAAGGCATGATGGAGGCTAGTGTGCAGAGGACACAAGATGGCTGAGTATTAGTTTGGAAGATGTCTCCCATACCTCAGGACATGGTCCAGCACATTGGCCATAGGACCATGTTAGCAAAGCATCCCCTGTGTGTGTCAGAAGAAAATCATTTGGGAGAGTGCTGTGGTTTTGTAGGACCTGTCACTCAAACCTAAAGTACAAGCATCATGAGGGATGCACTATTCAAAATCCGCATCTCTGTAATCCAGCTTTGCTCAAGAAGGAGACAAAAAGGGAGACAAGGAACAGCTGTGGTGGGCAGCTGCAGACACTCCCCGGGGATGTGGGTGGCATCTGCACCATTCAGGGAGGCTCTGGGAAGCTCTGAGGAGGCCAGTGGGAGGGGGGCTCCATCTGAGACAGGGGAGTGGAGGGAAGGAGGCTCCAGAGACGGTGACACTGGCCCGTAGGCAGAATTCCAGACATCTTGGAGTAGACCTGAGGGTGGGTGCCCTGCCTGGGCAGCACTCAGAGCAAGGACTCTCCTGTGTCCCTGGCTGACATACTAGCAGAGAACCCGGGCTTTATCCATAGCGTGAGTGCTTTGCAGGAACTTGCTTAGAGCGGGCTGGCTGTGTACCAGGCGTGCTGCACTGACATGTGCTAAGGTGGACAAGGGTGAGTGCTCTGTTGTTGATCCCCTGACACACATGACTTGTACACAGCATTGCACCATGTGTCCATGGGGAGGTGGGGGGGGTTAGGGAAGAAATTACCACAACCGTAGTATCCAAGACTTTGGCCTCCAATCCTCCCTCATTGTAGCATTCTTGGATTTTTTCTAAAGCCTCCCTTTCCCCGGAAGTAGGGTTAAACTTGCTAAGGATGATGTTCAATAATGTCTTGCTTCCAACGACCACTGAACCAAAAGCTTCATAGAAAGGAAGGCAGGCTTCCGCTGCAAGCACAGACAGAAAGCAATCATTAAAGGGACGGCAAGCTGCAGAAGCACATATCCAAGGGTCCCTGCCACACCTGCAAATGTCTTACCTAACCTTCCTCACAGTGCCGCCCTCCAGACGGCGGGCACCGGCCTCCCAGATACGGTACCCAGTTTCCATAAACACACACTCAGCAGAAGGGGGCTATGTGAGTGTATCAGCCTGCATATCTGTCCTTCACATAAACCCCACACATGACCCAGCTTCAACTGTGCATGGAACTGCGGACAGGTCATCCCCACCACACCTCTGCCCCTCCATCCCACCCCCCCCAACCGCCTCAATCCCGAGCAGTAAGCTTCAAGGGTCTTCACAGGACTCCTGGCTAGTGACCTCCCAGGTACCCTGAGATGTGTCTCCGGGCACTGCTTGGAGAATGAAGTGAGAAGAAGGGGTAAGCAAGGATCAGAAAGGCAGTCTGTTCCCATTCTCACTTGTCTGGAAGCCCAGCTCTCCAGTCACCAGCAAGGCCAGCAGCAGCAGAGTCCCCTTCATGGTGTAGAGTGCTAAATGCTCTTCTCAGAGCAGATCCTGCTGCCTTATAAGCTGCTGTCTCCCTGAGCCCAGTCCCACCCACCCCACCCCAATCCTGTCTCCCCGAAGTTCCAAATGCCTTTGGGCAAGAGCCTGGCACCTACGGGTTCCCGTCCACTTGCGTGGGGGAGTGAGCACATGAGCCCCTCCCTCTCTGAAGAGCAAATGGCTGGAGACACCCTAATGTCATCCGTTTCTGGACAGACGCGGTTGTACCTTTGCCAGAGCCGTTAGGGTGACCTTTCTAAGAAGCCGCATGCCGAGCCAAGTGCCCTGCGTCCCTGTCCCAGCTGCCACCTCTGCTTCCTCCTCGCCTCTCCTGGCTGCAAGCTTGTCCTCTTCAGCTTGCAGGGGATCAAGGAGGGTGTCTGTGGCTGCTTTTGCCTGAGATCAAGACCTGAGTAGAAGTGTGTGTTCTGGGGGGGCCACACTGTGTCCCTTGGACAAATTAGCTGCTGTAACCTTTGGATTAAACCTCTCAGGACAGGGGGCACCAGCTGGGGTTTTCGTGAATCCAGCCAGGCAGCTCGCAGTGTTAGGTCATGTGGGCATCCTCAGGGGCCGGTGCTGTTTTACAGCATCAATGGCGTCATGCTGTAATTTCCCCTCACTGCCGCGGCAGCTCATTCCTGTTGTCCGCTCTTGGTCTTTCTCCCCTCTACCAGTGAGCAGGTCTCAAAGAGCTCAAAGAGTAGAGTCCCTGTACCATGAACTCTCCTTTGTCCACAGGCTACGCTGTGTGTGGACGGTCTCAAGTTCAAATCCACCCTCTTCCCTCAGATGGACCTTCTTTCACAAATGAGATCGTGTCAGGCAGGAGGCCGCCAGTGTGTGATGACTAATGGTGATGGTCATCCTGACTGGGTTTACAGTCACCATGGAAACGAAGCTCTGCCAGTGTGGGAGTTTTCAGGCAGTCTGACTTTCTGTGGGCAGTGAGGACTCGGGTCTATATGGAGTGGAAAGGAGAGAGCAGGCTGGGCATTCATGTCGCTCTGTTTCCTGGCTGTTGATGTCATCAATCATGAGGAATTCCTGCACTGGGCCTCCCCCACCATGATGGACTGCAGCCCTTCCAACTGTAAGTGCAAAGTCATTCCTGCTCTGGTGTTTTGTCCCTAGTCCACCAATACCTTACAGGAGTCCTTTTTACCATGTGCAAAGGCCTGAGCTTAATCCATAGCACCACACACAAGTAAAGGGATGGCTAAGGAGATGGCTCAGTGGGTAGAGTGCTCATTATGCAAGCCTGAGGCCCTGAGTTCGGATCCCAGAACCAAATGGTGGAAGAAGAGAACTGTTTCCTCCTAATTGTCCTCTGATGGTCTCATACACACACACACACACACACACACACACACACACACACACACACACACACACACAGGAATAAGGTCTGTGGAAATTGGCACAAGAAAGCCTAAAAAAGCTCTTAATGGCCAAATATCAAACAATTTCAATAACCAGCTAAATAGCATCATATTGGATTACAGAATAATTGTGAAATAATACATGAATCCATGCTGGCATGAATGGTTGGATAAATAGAAATGAAAGACAGTGTTCTTACAGAAGAAATCATGAGTGTTTATATATGCTCCTCTCCTCTCGGGAGGGGAATTTACTTCCTTCATCCTGCAGTGTTTGCTCCCTGTGTCCAAAAGAAAAAGCAAGGTGGGCTGGGGCTGCCCCAGTTAGGAAAATACTTGCTATGTAAGCTTGAATTCTTGTGTTTCAGTCCCCAGACCCATAAGGAAAGCCAGGCACAGTGGTTCGCTTGTAATCCCGGGTCTCACTGACCAGCCAGTCTTGCCAAATTAGCAAGCTCCAGGTTCAGCACAATATTCTGTCTCCAAAAAATATCAGGTGCTCAGCTGTTAGGAGAACTGAGCACCCACATGGCAGCTAACACCCACCTGTAACTCCAGTTCCCAGAATCCAACACTCTCCTCTGGGGTTCGCAGGCCCTGCACACACAATGGGTAAGACATTCATGCAGGCCAAATCTCCATGCAAAGAAAACAAAAATAAATGAAATCTTTTTGGTGAGAGCAACTGAGGGCACTTGATGCCTATCTCTGGCTGTCCTGTGCATGTGCGTATTTATGCCTTGTGTCTTAGTTAAGATTACTATGCTCAGGCAGGGGTAGTGGTGCACACCTTTAATCCCAGCACTCAGGATGAAAAGGCAGGCAGATCTCTGTGAGTTCCAGGCCAGCCTGGTCTACAGAGCGAGTTCCAGGATTGTAGCAGCTACAGAGAAACCCTGTCTCAAAAACTGAACATCAACAAACAAAACAGTTACTATTGCTCTTGCTGGGATAAAACACCATGGCCAAAAGCAAATTAAGGGGGAAAGGGTTTATTTGGCTTATACTTCCATATCACCATTCACCATCAAAGTCAGGGTAGGAACTCAAGCAGGCAGGGACCTGGAAGCAGGAGCTGATGCAGAGGCCATGGAAGGGAGCTGCTTACAGGCTTGTTTCCCGTGGCTTGCTCAACCTGTTATCTTATAGAACCCAGGTCCACAGGCCCAGGGATGTCCTCACTCACAATGGGTAGATCGTTCCTCCATCATAACTATGTTTAAAAACTGCCTGGCCAGTAGGCAGTGCTGTTAGCCTTATATCCCAGTACCTGGAAGGAAGAGACAGTTTGAGGCCAGCCAGGTCTACAGACTGAGATCCAAGACAGCCAAGGCTACAAGATAAACCCTGTCTTATGGTGGGGGTCAGTGGGGGTGGGTGCCTTACAGGCTTAGCTGAAATCCAAACCTTTTTTATTGTTGTTGCTTTGGAGGCTGTCCTGGAACTCACTCTAGACCAGGCTGGCCTCCAACTCACAGAGATCTGCCTGCATCTGCCTCCTAAATGCTGGGATTAAAAGTGTGGGCCACCAACGCCTGGCTGCAATCCAAACTTATAGAGGCATTTTCTCTCTTTCTTTTTTGTTTGTGTGCTTGTTTGACATTTTTGGAGACAAGGTTTGTCTGTGTAGACCTGGCTGATCTGGAACTCTCTGTAGACAAGACTGCCCTCGAACTCAGAGATCCGCCTGCCTCTGCTGCCTGAATGCAGGAATTAAAACTTGTGCACCACTGCTTAGTGGAGGCTATTTCTTCATTGAGCTTACCTCCTTCTGATGACTTCTCCCTGTGTCAAGTAGACATAAAACTAGCCAGCACATCTCACAAACGGACGTGTGTGTGCATGTCCACACCCACACATGCACACACATGAAGAAAGCCCACACACAAAAATACGAAAATGTAAGTGAATGGGAAAATAGTAGAAATACCTGGTCATGGAATGTTAATGGTTGAAGTGAGGTTTTCCAATCAGTGGGGAAAGGTGTAGATGTCCTATGACATGAGGGGTCAAGGCACTAAACCTCTGTGAGATCCACAGGAAGCCTAAGGCCAGCGCTGCAGGTGTCACCACCAGTAGACACTGGTGAGCCACAGTATGAACCCTGTCTCCATTCCTAATATTTCCAAGGAATAGAAAGGCCTTGCTGGGCCTCAACAGCCCTGGGGACCGGCAAGGTCATCAAAATGGATTCCGGAGGAGATAGTGGACAGCTCACAAGTGGGTCTTAGTGCTTGGCACTTCTTTCCCAAAACAGTTTCCGGATGTACATCCTGTTTGGCCCAGGCATCCAGTAAATCAAAAGGCTGATGCCTCTCTAACTCTAAGGCAAACTGTATCTGTCACCGCTGATGGAGAGAAAGTGACAGTCAATGCCTTTAACAACAGACTGCTTAGTTCTGACTTATCAAAACACTTAGAAGCTTTACTTTTAAACATTACTGCCAGCCAAATTATATAAGGACTTATATAAGGTGAATCGGGAGGTGGGGCCAGAGGTGTTGAGAGTTTGAGGCCAGCCTGGGCTATGTAGGAAGATACTGTTCTTTTCTGGTTTTAGGAAAGGTCTTCTTCCTAACTCTAATGCACAAACTGACTTAGTGGAGCCCATTCTATATGGAGATACCTTGCCCGGTCTAGACCCAAGGGCGTGGGGTGGAGAGGTGCCTTGGTCCTGCCTCAACGAGATGATGGGACAGACTTAGCAGACTTCCTAGGGGAGGCCTCACCCCTAGGTGAGCTGATGGGGGGAGGGGATAATCAAGGGAATGGCAGGAAAGGAAGGAGGGGGAGCTGGGATTGGAATGTTACAAATACATTAAGAAAAATAGCAATACAAAAAGAAAGGTCTTGTTCATAGACTTGAGAGGGAGCTATCCCTCCCCCATCCCATCTAGCACCACTGTGGAGTCGTCCCATGTGGAGTCCCTGGGATAGGGTGGCACCTGCCTTGCTCTCCTGAGCCCTTGGACACTAAGGGACACAAAAGCAGCCAAGGCAAGAGCAGCTGGCGAATAGGGGACAGGGTTTAGAGCCCCGCGCTGTGGTGGAGGCGGCTGTGTTCTCATGTACAGGGGTCCACGGGCACTGTGGTGTGGAAATCTGTGCGCCATTGCTCTGGCCAAAGCCCCCAGACTCTGTATGTGGGAAAGAAGGTAGTGTGGTTGGCGGTCTGGACCTGCACTGCCTTGCAGTGTCTGGACTCAGGTGAGGTTGGGGGGAGGGATGGGGATCTGGTGGAAGAAAGTGCTAGAACAGGATCTCCACCTGCTTCACCTCCCCCCACCACACACGGCCTCTGTCACTGCAGCCACCCTGGGGCCCAACGCCCAAGGTGGGCGTTGCTGTGTGTGGCCTAGCAGAGTTGAAACCACAGCTGGCTGCCCTTCTCATATGGCGCTTGATGACGCCCTAGGAATCGAGCATCAAATGCCACAGCCAGGTAAAGGGCCAGCACATCACCCAGTGAGGGCCCAGCACTGGAAGGCTGTGGTCCTCTCTGTGTTCATACTTATGGGCAACCTGGTACGGAGATGCTCAGATGACAAACAGTCCACGTAAATGATAAGTTCTAGTTTCAGGGGACCCAGAGTGGTCAGGTGACCTGCAGGGTCCAAAGAAATGAAGATTTGGTGTTTCCCTCCCGTAATCCCCCCTGTGAGGCTGAGGCAGGCGTGTGCCCAGTTAGCTGTCTGGGATCCTTTTGCTCAGAAATAGAAAGAAATTGTGGGTGGGGGAGGGGACGGCCTCCAGCTGCTGGCCTGGGCTGCTCCCTCCCTCCATGTATCATAGCAGGTGGTGCCCTCCAGTGGACAGGTTCACACTAGCATAGACCCAGCATCCCATGGTTAGGGGTTCGAACCTCCTTGGCAGTCACCAGCGCTGTGGCTCTGGGCCCTGGTGAGGCTCTTGTGTCTAAAGACACCACAGCTCCCAGGACCTACTCTGGCAAACAGGGTCTGCAGTTTCTGTCCCCTGGATTGTACCCTTTTGTCCTTCCTCAGCTCTGCTCAGCCCTCTCTGGCTGTGTGTGACCCTTCCGTTTCCTGCCCTGTCCCCTGTCACTTTCCTGCTGTCATTCCCCTGCCTCAGCCTTTGCTGCACGGTCTGCTGCCTCTTCCATCGCGGTCTATTCAGGCCACACTCTTGAAGGTAGCCAAGGAAAAGACCGCTCATCAGAACCTTCCATGGGGCCTAAAATGGATGGCAGTCCCGGGGAGAGAGTGAGTGTGTCTCCACAGCAGTCAACGTCCTGAGCAGCCTACCCCCATAGCAGAGGCTCTGGAGCCTACCACAGCCTGCCTCCCAGCACCCCTCTGCTAGCCCCCTGGGGGGGGACTGCTACCCCTGTGGCCCAGGTGGAAATGGTTGAAGGTTCTTATAGAACTGTGTGACAGCAAAACTCTGCTGGACACTCTGAAAGAGCAGGACTGAGGCTGTGCCTTCCGATGCCGGGATAACCAGCTCAGATTGACCTCCAATTTCCCCAAGGTGCAGTGGAGTCTTCAAAATGGCCGTGCTGTCCCCGGGGCAGTCATGCTGGCTTCTGAGGGGCAAGGCAACAGGAGCAGCAAGGCAGAGTCAGGCAGTGGCCAATCAGGGGGACAGCTTGCTCCACACTGAAAATCTCCACTTAATGATGAGAAAATGAGCATGAGGCTTTGCAGTATAGCCGTAGAGAACACGTTCATGTTGATATTAACAGGCTCTCGCCGTGTCTTTCTGACTGGCCTGGAACTCCCTGTGTGGACCAGTCTGACCCTAAGCTCATAGTGATCCTCCTGCCTCTGTCTTCTGAGTGTTGGGACTGAAAGTGTTTGACACCTCACCAGGCATTTGCTAATACGTTTTAACAGTGCTTACAATCAGCTACAGGGAAAGCTGAATTAATACACACACCATACACACACACATAGTAACACATACCACATACACGCTACATACCACACATGCTACACTCATACACCACACATACACACACACTGCACACATTATACACATACACCACACACACACACTATAAACATACACATACTATACACTCCGCACACACACCACTAATACACATACACCACAGTACACATACTACACACATACACTAGACAACACACACACACACACACACACACACAGCACATACTCCATACTTAGGGGGTTTGTGAACAGAAGGTTCATAAACCTGGGCAAGATCCTGTCTTTAAAAACCCAGAAACATCCACAAGGGCTCTAAGAGGTCCAGTTTGGCTGGATAGAGCAAACATTTAATCCCAGCACTCAGGAGGCAGAGGCAGGTGGATCTCTGTGAGTTCAAGGCCAGCCTGGTCTACACAGAGATGTTCAAGGACAGGCAGGGCTATGTCTAGAGACGCTGACTCAAAACTAAACAACCACGAGGAAAAGCTCAAGTTGAAGGATGACTACAACAGCAAGAGGAGCTCAGGTTAGAGAGTGGCTCAGGGAAGCCATGAAGCAGGTAAAGATGGAGGCAGGGAAGCGGTCAGGTCAGGGGGTCTATCCCAGGCATTGAATACTAGGGAGACTTTAGTAACCCTTGAGTTCCCTTCCTAACTGGGAGAGCTAAGCCTCACTCTGGAGGCCTGGTTAAGGGGACACTGGCCTGGGTCCCTGGTCATCATTTCCTTTGGTCTTCATATGACATGTGACCTTAAGCAGAACACTAAGAAGGTGAGCAGACTCAGCCAGGGCCCTTTGTTGACCAGGATCTCTTCCTCTTGCCAAAATACACACCTCCCCCTGACAGCGCCCCAGGGAGTTTCACAGTTCTGGGAGGAGCCGGGAGGGGCTCACACACTGCCCCTCCCTGCCCACTGAGCATGATGGGGCTTATAGAAGGGGCCCTAGCTGGGTAGGAGCACCTGCCACCATTACCATGAAGCTCACTGGTGCTCTCGTGTTGCTTGGGGCTGCCCTGCTCCTCATCTCAGGGGCAGGTGGGTACTAGGCTGTGGGCGTTGGGCATGCGGGGTCTCCAGGGCTTTCACACCTTCACTTTCCCAGGGAGGACTCATGTGTTCTGATGCCAGGCCCTCACGGGAGGATCACCTTTGCTTTGTGTTCCAGATTGTGAGATTTGCCCAGCTATAAAGGAAGACATTGACTTGCTTCTTGGCTCCTCTGTGGATAAATATGTTAGCTTCGTGGAACAATACAGGAATACCCCTGACATATTGAAAAATGCTGAAAACCTGAAGAAATGTGTTGATAGCAAGTTGACAGAGGAAGACAAGGAGAATGTGCGCAGTTTGCTGGTGAGTTCTCTTGTTTCTGATGCCCCGCTCACCCAGGTTAGCGATGGAGCTTGTGTTTCTTCCCACCACTGCAACTCCTCTGTGCATCCAGAAAGAAGCCTCTCCCAACTGCGGGTATCAGGGGGATGGGGCAGGGAGGGACGTTCTGCGGCCTGAGCTAGGCCTGGCTCTTCAGCTCAGCCCAGCCAGACTAGACCCTGCAGGATCCCTGCCCCTGCAATACCACTTGGCGTCCATCAGCCTGTCTGGCCCAGCCTTCTGAGTCCACCCATACCAGAACAGGGCCTGGCACGCCTTCTCCAGCCTGGAACTTTCATCCTAAATGTCAAGTCTCCTACCGCACCCCCAGAACACCCTTATTTTACTTTTCACCTGAATCTCCATGGCCACTATGCAGAATCCAGGCCTGGGTGACTCAGGTAGAGCATCTAATTAAGTATCCTCTTGTCACTAGAACTGCTAGGATAAGTCAGCGCCTTAGCTGCGTGTGTCTGAGGGTCATCACGTGACAGGAATCAGTTCACGTGTGGGGCCATAGCTGCCCGCAGCCTCACCTGGAGCCCCTTCAGGTCCTCCCCAGCTGCTTCTGAATTCTGTCCCGCATTGCCCGTGGTGTCCCCAGGGTAGGTGGCTCTTTCCATCAGGCTGGATTGGAGGCTGTTTACAAGGCTTGCCCTGATGTAGCTTGAGGGAGACAGGATGGAGAGGTATCTCCTGGTCAGATCCTGGTTCTTGGCAGATGGGTATAGGTCTCTCCCAACAGGTGTCCCGTGAAGACACCTGTGGGATCTCCTTCACCTCTGACACCTCACCGGCTCTCTCATTCCAGGCAAAAATAGAAGCTAACATAGTCTGTTGATGAATCTATCTTTGCTAGAAGACTCAAGGAAGCCACTTGCCTGCTCACCTGAACACATGTACCAAGCCCTACCCCTACCCTCCTGGTGTCTAAAACAAGGATTCCAACAATAAAAGCCTTGCAGTTCACAGGGGAGCCTGGACTGTTTGCATTTGAGATGGGGCATTGATTGGGTTGGAGAGTGTTGGGGGGAGCAACCAATGAACATTGATTGAACTATCATTGCTCAATTGCAGCAATGCCAAAACATCCTGGCAGAATGCATTAGGGGACGCTAGCAGACCACAGTCTGCTTAGTGTGGTGGGCCAGAGTCCATAGGGCACCTACATCAGACCCCGGATCCAACTTCCCAGGGGCACGGAACAGTGAACGGCCGGAGAGGCCGAGTGTATGCTGAGGATGTCACAGCCTCTACACAGCAAATTCTGTCCCTTCAGCTCCCTGCTGGGGACATGGGCCAGTTGTGTAGTGTACCTGTGTCACGGTGCTGCTCTGGTCCGTTGTGTCCCATCTATAAAACTCCCTATCTCGGTGGTATGGTGATGGTGCACACCTTTAATGCCAGCACCTGGGAGGCCGGTGGATCTCTGTGAGTTTGACACCAGAGTTCCAGGACAGCCAGAGCTGCAGAGAGAAACCCTGTCTCAAAAAACAACAAAAACCTCCCTCTCTCCATGCCTATAGTAAGGGTTCACATCCCTGGCACGAGAACAAGTATCCTTAAAACAAGTGCAGGACCAGGCCAGAGCCCGGGGTTCAACCTCAGCCTGTCCTAGTTCCAACTCCACAGTTCTGAGCCCATCTATCTCCGGAATGGATATTCTACCCTGAGGGACCCAGGACTGTAGAGCCTCAGAACCCGGGCTGTGACTGCACTGTGACCATGGCAGTAAGTCCTTTCCCACACCAGTGTCACCAGGCCATGGGCCCCACTGCTCCATCAACGAGCCATGTCTCCATGTGAGTCTCTGGTTTCACACCACCAGGCTCTATGCACAGGGACGTATCTAGGTTCCTTGTGATGCAGAGGCCTACAGGAGGCTCCGGGGCATGACCAGAGTGTATTCTTCTTTTATATAAGGCTGTGATAAAATACCTGAAGCCGGGTATTTATAAAGGAAACTGTCATCATTTTGAATGTCCAAGTCCTGCCAGGCTCATCTTTTTAGCCTCCAGTGAGGACCCTTTGATTGCATGTTGCAGAGGGACAGAAAATAGCACTAGTCACGTGGCCAAGTCAGTGTGTGGACGGCCTCCAGCAATCACACAGGGGGACTCAGTCACGCAGTCTGCAGCGCTAGTCTCTTCCCAGCAACACCCCAGGGACCTAACCGCCCCCAGTTGTCTCCCCTCTTGTACATCTCTCATGTCACCACATAGGGACCAAGTTTCCAGCACACGAGCTCTTAGGGAACACAAGGAAACCATATCCAAAGCAAACAGCCCAAGAGGAAGCCATCTTGTACGGACTAAGGCCTAATGACTGACCCACAAGCATCTGGCTGGACCATGCTTCTGAAGGGGACCTCCTGCCTGTGCAGGGACTGAGGGTAGACTAGGGGCTGCGCAGACCATGCCAGAACTCTTCAGTCCCATGTGGGACTCAGGAGGCTATTCTGCCAAGCTTCTTCCAACAGATTTAAGAACTCAGGGCTCCTCTCTCTGGGGCTTGGCTCAGCTCACAGCAGCTGCCCAGCATTTTCTGGCCCTTGGTCTTAGTCACACAGCTCTACAAAAACTAAGCCTGGGCTTCTAGAGAGAATGGCACCAGATGGATTATGCAGGCCTGGTCTTAGGCAATGGCGCCCTAGCCTTCAGTGAGTTTGAAGGTGTCATGTGTGAGAGGGCCAAACCCGAGAAGGGCGTTTGTCCTCACTAGAACATACGGGCTCCCCTCCCACACCGCGCTCTGGGGACACCGGCTGAGAATTAGCTGCTGCATCCTCTGAGCTGTGACATCAGAACTCTGTGGGGTCAGAAAGAGTCAGGATGACATGACCTTCCAGATCTTTCGGGTCTGCCATCCAAGCCAACCTACTGAGCTGCCTGCGGACTGTGCCTGTGCTCCGGGTTCCCAGCATTTGTGAGCTGACACCCATGCTGGGTGGGTTTTGGTGACTGTGGGCTTTCAGCTGTCTCTGAGTCATTCCTGCTCCTGTAAGAAACCCCAGTAAAATTCACTGGTTCGCCAATTGGACTGTTTTGGTATTTGTGCTTTTGTCTGCCGCTGGTCCCTGATGTGGAGTAAATAGACACTGTTCACATCTTCCTGGGAGCAGTGTCACACAACAGCCAGTGAGGTGGCTCGGTGGGTAAAGGAGCTTGCCATTAACCCTGACAACCTGACTTGGACCCCCAGGGTCCACATGGTGGAAGGAGAGGGCTAATTCCCACAGCTGTCCTTGGGCCTCCAAGTGCACAGCCTGACACGCATGTACCTATACATGCAGTTTGAAAGTGTAGAACAAATTAGTTTAAAGAAAGGGAGGCAAGGTGTGGTTGGTGCACACACATTTAATCCCACCCAGCACTCGGGAGGCACAGAGAAGCAGGCAGGTCTCTGAAAGTTCAAGGCCACAGTGGTCACACTGAATTCCAGAGCATCCCTGTTGTGGAACAGCTCCCTTCGAGAAGGAATCTTTCCATCCTGCAGGAAACTCTTCATGCAGCAAGGTAAACAACTCAAAATAGCTTCAGACTCACTAGGCCAGAGGAAGCAATGAAGCTTAGAGCCTGCCCATCCTGTTGAGGCACCCACAGGCTGTGCTCCAGGTTTCCATCGTTCGTGAGCTGTCACTCACGCTACCGTGGGCTTTGGTGATACAGCTGGCTGAGTCATTTCTGCCCATGTAAGTTACCCCAATAAAACTCATCGGTTCACCAAGTTTGGATTTTTGTACTTTGGTCACTCATGGGTTCCCTATCTGGGGTGAACAGAAGTGGGTTGGATCTCCCCAGGAAAAGTTTGGAGACTCTACCCTCTCCCGCCCCTTGCCCTGAAAAAAAAAAAGAGAGAGAGAGAGAGAGAGAGAGAGATCTCAAAGAGGAAGTTTGCTCAGTCTGGCATACAAAGTGAGTTCCAGGACAGGCTCCAAAGCTACACAGAGAAGCCCTGTCTTGAAAATCAAAAATAAAATAATATCCATGTTCATGGCAGAACTGTTTATAATCCCAAAGATATGACAATGACTTACCCTTTTCTTTGTTTTTTTTTTTTCTTTTTTTTTTTGAAACAAGATTTTTCTGTGTAACAGCCCTGACCTGACCTAGAACTTTCTCCGTAGATCAGGCTGGCCTTGAACTCACAAATATCCTCCTGTCTCTGCCTCCTGAGTGCTGGGATCAAAACTGTGCACCACCACATCCAGTTGACTTAAATGTTTTTCCAAGAGACAAATAATAGGAAAAAATGTGATACATCAGGATGGCTAAATTTTAGTGCTCACCTAGCCTGAATTAGACTCTCCAGCGAAACACACCTCTGCATGTGCCTATGAGAGTGTTTCCAGGAACTTCAGTGGTTTACCTGAGATTAACCCTGAATACAGGAAGTGACACCCCACGTGCAGGGAGCCTTGGGAACTCTCTGCTTTCCACAGATGGGATGTGAGCAGGTGCCTTCAGTTCCCGGGGCCATGACTTCCTTTATCCGTAAGCAGACGTTTCCTGTCCTGACCGCCTGTCCCAAATAACCAAACAGAGGCTTATATTAATTGTAAACGTCCAGTCAACAGCTCAGGCTTATTACTAACTAGCTCTTACATTTTAAATTAACCTGTGCTGTGCCTTCCTCTCCATGATGGGTCCCACCCTCCTGTGGTCTAAAGTAAGCTCGCTCTTCTTAAGCTGCTTGCAGCAGGCATGAAATCACAGTTTCGAGTAAAGGAGCTGACATGGCACATATATGCAGTGGCAGAAACATGTAAGCAGTGTTAACATGTAAGCACATATAAGCAGTGTCAACCAGCTTTGACAACGGGAAGGAAGGGCTGGAGAGACGGTGTAGGGCTGAAGAGCTCTTGAAACCTGAGGCCAGAGGACTCTCTCCTCCATGTCTGTGAGGGACCCGGCACACTGACACAGGAATGTCACTCACGGGAGCTGAGCAAGCAAAGATGTCTCCCTCCGGGGAGTGGAGGGTGTGCTTGTAGACACGTCCAGCGGTGTGACTCTGCCTAAGTGATTTTAAAGTTGCTCAAGCCAACAGTGAAGAATCTAAAGGTCTGGAGGAGGCGATGGGGAGTTTCTGAGAGTGTAAAATTTCCACTGTGCAAGCTGAAAGGTCTCTAGAGGGCTGGAGAGGTGGCTCAGTGGTGAAGAGCACTGGCCGTTCTTTCAGAGGACCCAGGTTCGATTCTCAGCACCCACATGTCAGCTCACAGCCAACTGTAACTCCAGTTCC